CTTCATTAATTGTCTGAGCTAGATCTTCTGGATAACTTGCTGCAGCTTCTACACCAGCACTTAATGCCTCACCTTGTGTTTTTAATGTTATCGAGATGGCTTTCCTTAAAATTTCCAACTTTCCTTCTGCAACTTCCTCACCTCTCTCACCCTTCACAGAATTAAAGAGAGTTAGGGTCTTGCTCTGGATTATGGTTTTGGCTTACGGAATGTTGTGGCTAACCAATCTAGACCACTAAAACTTTCTCAGTATCAACAATAAGAATACACACAATATGTATCAATTACGTTCACCATCTTATAGGAGAGCAGTTCATGAAGCCCCAAAACAATTACAGTAACAACATAAAAAAATCACTAATCACAGATCACCATAATAAGTATCATCATAATAATGGAAAAGTTTGAAATATTGCAAGAACTACCAAAACATGACACAGAGACACATACACAAATGCTTTTAGAAAAATGGTGCTAATAGACTTGCTCAACACAGGGTTGCCACAAACCTTCAATTTGTAAAAATCACATTATCTATGAAGTGCAATAAAACTAGGTATGCCTATACTCTAATTAGGTATTTACTTATTAAGTAAACTACATTTTAACAAAAGTAGAATAATGAACTACAGGTGGACTTTCATACAAATAGAAAAAATATTCAGAGGCAAGTAACTGAAAATAACAATCGACAATTAATACATGATCAAGGAGGCAAGAATACAAATGGGAAAAAGAGTCTTTTCAATAAATGATGCTGAGAAAACGATGTTGGGACAGCTACATGCAAGAGAATGAAAGTGGATCACTGTCTTATGCCATTCACAAAAATAAATTTAAAGAGGATTGAAGACCTAAACATAAAACCTGAAACCACAAAACCCCTAGAAGAAAACATAGGCAGTAAATTCCTGAACATCACCATTTGCAATTCTTTTCTGGATAAGTCTCCCAAAGCAAGGGAAACAAAAGCAAAAATAAACAAGTGAGACTACATCAAACTAAAAAGCTTCTGCATGGCAAAGGAAACCATCAACAAAGTGAAAAGGCAACCTACTGCATGAAAGAATATATTTGCAAATATCTGATTAGAGACTAATATGCAAAATACATTAAGAATTCATATAACTCAACACTAAAAAAACAAATAATCTGAATAAAAAATGGGCAGTGCACCTGTCTATTCAGATAGATATTTTTCCAAAGAAAACAAACAGATAGCCAACAGATACATGAAAAGATGCTCAACATCACTAATCATTGGGGAAATGCAAATCAAAACCACAATGAAATCTCACACCAGAGTGCCTAACATCAACAAGATAAGAAGTAACAAGTGTTGGCAAGATGTAGAGAAAATGGAACATCTGTGCCTTGCTGGTGGAATTGCAAATTGGTGCAGCCTTTATGGAAAGTAGTATGGAGGTTTCTCAAAAAACTACAAATAGAAATGCCATATGACCCAGCAAATTCCACCCGTAGAAAATCAAATCACTAATCTGAAAAGATACATGAACTCCTATGTTTACAGAAGCATTATTTACAATAGCCAAAAGATGAACAATCTCAATGTCCTTTGACAGAAAATAGACACAAAAGATGTAGTACATGTATACACAGTGGAATATTACTCAGCCATAAAAAAGAATGAAATCTTGCCATTTGCAACAACATGGCTGGACCTAGCAGGTAGTTACGCTAAGTGAAATAAGTCAGACAGAGAAAGATAAAATGCCATATGATCTCACTTTTATGTAGAATCCAAAAAACAAATGAAAAAAACTAAAATAGACTCTTAAACAGAGAACAGGTTACCATAGGGGAAGGTGAGGAAATAGGTGAATGAGGTGAAGAAAAAAAAGTAAGAATGTTTGATATCTTGATTTGGGCAATAGTTACATGAGTGTATACACATATCAAAATTCATTAAGCAGTACACTAAGATTATGCTTTTATTATATGTACCTCAATATTACAAAAAAATTTTTTTAATCTAAGTATGACTTTTTAGTTTACCATTTGAGTTCTCATTTCATTACCAGGCAGATAACTTCTATGCCACTAAGAATGTGTTTTGATTGATGCACAATTCCAAGGGCTTAGGACTGAAGCTAGTCGTTACTTTTTCAGCACAGCATAAGAATACTACAGAGGTGGGAATGATATTTTAAATTTATGTATTTAGCTTCAGTCATATAGGAGCTGTATGAGCTAAGATTTTTACTTCAACTTTTAAGGAAGAAGAAGAGCAATGTTCCAAGATATGATGATCCAACTACTGAAATCCTACCAGAGCATAAGACAATGAGAAACTACATAAATAGCTCAGATAGTTACATAAATTTTTCCTTAAGATACAAATAGGGCAATGAATAAAATCAATCCTTTTATTGAACTATATTTATAAAATCTACTCTAGGGCCAAGGTATTATGCTAAGCCCTCAAAGAAAATGATGAATCAAGCATAGTCTCTAGCCTCATGGAGCTCAAATAAAATCTTAAGAAATCTTTTAAGAATATGAAAACGAAGCTGAAAAGAAACAAAAAACGTTGTGATATATCTCTGCTCTCCACTGCTGGCAAAATACTTATGTGACTTCTGTATCAGTTACCTGTGCTTCTCAGAAAAATAACATGGCATTATAAAGCAAGGTAACATTATAAAGCACAGTTACCTGTGCTTCTCAGAAAAATAACATGGCATTATAAAACAAGCTGGCAAATGCTCAAGATCCAAACCACTTTTGAAATGGGTTTTTGTAGTTACTAAGGGAACCCATCTTCAAAGATAGCTCTTATGAATATTACCAATATTGCACACTACTTACACTTTAGTGTACGGAGAATTCTGACTCATTCATGAACAGATTGAATACAGTATTATTCAAGCCTACCCTAAAACACCATGTTGATATAACCTAAAAGTATCAAAAGAACAATTTTAAATCATCTAGTAAATATTCTTAACTAGTTACAAAAATAGTACTGTAAATCTTAGAAAAAGTCACTCAGAAATTGTTGACTAATGTCTGAAGTACACAGAAAAGAAAAAGCTACTTGATCATAAAATTCATAGACCTTAACGAAAACCTATCTACAGTAAAAAATGATACCCTCAATGGCTGCTAATTCATTAGGTAAAAACCTTAGTTAGGAACTTTATAAGGTGTGAGTCATGCTAATATCACCTGAGTCCATTGATAAGTCATTCTGTCACTACAAGTAGAGCAACCAGATACCAAATACTTTCTGAAGTGAATATACAGCTTTACTTGTAAAACATTCTTACCAAAAAAATTAATCTGACTCGAATGAGGATTCTAGATCTAACTACCAGATTGCAGAAAACGTAAAAAACAGAAATACATGTTTAAAGTTATTGTAATACAGTCAAACCCAGAATGTGGGAAATTCTGTAGAAAATAAAACTCCCTTTCTTGAAACAAATGGCATTGGGGAGTAATGGAGGATAGGCTGTTTTATAAAAGAGACTTAAGATCCATGAATCAAATGCAATGTATGTACTTTTTGGACTCTGATTCAAATAAATCCACTTAAAATTTAATTAAACAGAGGAAAACTGAACATGGACTGTATACCATATGATATTAAAGAATCAGTAATTAATTTTGCTGGATGAAATAATGGTTTGGTAATGTGCAAAATTTTTATCTGTTAGAAAAATATATTGATGTTTTTATGGATGAAATGATAAAATGCCTAGAATTTGTTTTAAAAATGTCAGAAAAATATAAATGAAGTAGGAATGGCAGTGCTGATAACCATTAAAGCTGGGTGACAGTTATACGAGAATTCATTATCATATTCTCTCTCTACTGTTACGTTTGAAAAATTCTATTTAAAAAAATTGAAAAGATTTTTTAAAAATTCACATGACCTTATGTTAATTAATACCCATGAGCCTTGATTACTAAAAGGAATCCCCCAATAAGCCAAATAGATAATTTGCACTTTGGCAAGGATTTTTCTCAATATTAATCTTGATGATCTGATTTGGAATTTAGTATTACGGGAGTGAATACTTGAAACCATCATTTTTGGAGCTAGATTCTCTTGGGATAAACTGTCCATCCAGATTTTAGGCTGAGAGATGCTAGTTTCTATATGAGACGCAAAACTCTGATAATCCCACTAAAATTAGTACTAATACCTTGCCCACAATGCCTATCTACCTTTTCTAAGGAGTTTTCTATATATCAAATGGCAGTATCTACCAACTAAGTAATATATTAGACCCTAGCTCTAAAAAATACAAATAAAAGGGAGAAGAGGGAACTTAAAGTATGAAATAGTCAAGTATAAAGTGAAATATATCCTAGAACATGCCAAAAAAAAATCAGAAGAGAGGGAAAAGAATACAAATTGGGAAACAAACTCCTGAAAGCAAGAAATGCTGGCAAATTATTATTATTTAAACATTCCAAATATAAAAAAAGCATGCTATAGCTTTTTTTACAATACCTAGCTTAATAAGTACTCATTGAAAAGAAATATATAAAATCATCACTCTGATACTATAACTCTAGATGACACTGTGACAAAAATACTACACTATTTTAGAGAAGTATTTGCAAACTTTAGTATGGAAGCCAAAAGAAAAAAGGCATTACTTTATAAAATTCCTACAGAATAGCTTTGCTAAATATATTTATTCTTTAAAGTACTAACAGAATTTTAGAATTAAAGGAGTTTTAATTGAATTCCTTCATCCTAAACACACTGAAACTTAGGTAGAAAGACAGGGTGGAAAGAGCTAAAACTAGTGCCAGAGGTACAACTTAACAGTATAATATCAGTAACAGAAACATTTTGATGAATTATTTTCAATAAAAACTCTCTTGCAGACAAATATTTCTCAACTAATTAGATTTCATAATAGTTCATGGCTTAAGATGAGATCTACTAGATATCAGTTGAACTTTAAAAATGAACAATAGTTAGCCTTTTAAATTTATATAAAATATGCCAATTATCTTACCAGCATAGTGCTCTGACAATAGACATGAGTGTAGATTTTTCTATGATTTGCAAGAGGAAATGTGAAATATATCTTATCAGATTCCTAAAAAAAAAAGAGGGAAAATACAATAAAACCATGAGAGTGGAAAACATCACTCAAATAAATATCCAGATAAAGCAATGAGTAATTATTCTATCATTCTTAGATTTGTTGAGACCTAATATTCCAGGAGTGAGAAGACAACACAGATATAAGATAAAGATCAAGTATAAGCCCTGTAGTCCTGAATCTGTCTTGGAAGAATTGATATGAATGCATGTTTTTTTTGTTTGGGTTTGGTTTTGGGGCTTATCATCAAGATAAAATATGTTTCTTGTGCCTAGAAAATGCTAACCCATTGGCCATAAACATCTCTAGTGCCCAAATGATGGTTTTTAGATACCACTTCTCAAATAATAGGAAGAGCTAGCTCCTTAGAGGAAAAAGCTGATTAAATAAAGGTCTAGGGTAGGAAAGGTACAAAATTAGCTGAAGTATCTTCTCTACTGGATAGAGAGGAAACTACCAAAGACAACTGAAGGGCAGCCATATCAACAAGATTCAGGAGCCTAACCTGAAACGGCTTCCACTGGTCAAAGATACGACAATTTTAGTATCAAAGATAGAAAAATTTACTATTTTAGTTTAGACAGAAGGTCACTGCTGTAGGATGTTTGTGAGCCAACTCACTATTCTGAAAACCAGTAAATACATGATTCAAAGATACAGCAATTATCTTTTTTCCTTTTATGATTTGTCTCACTTTTGATAGATGAGATTTTCTTCATTGTGTTCCAGTTAATAAATGAAGGAATAATCAAATTACAGTATCATTTTTGAATCCCCCCTACATGAATTAATGACTAGACAGTCTTCATCAATAGTTGTTAACATCACAAAAAGACAGTCTAGCAAAAACAAAAACAGAAAACATGAATCTGATCAAGCACCTAGATGCCAACTACCAAGTCACAGGAAAGGAGTATGTTGAATGACACTATAGGAATATAATCAGCACAAGACTGTATGAAACTATAGAACAAATGAGTTGTTTTCTCAACAGATAAACTGTAGGAAGTATTAGAGATTAAAAGAGGATCAAAGACATATCAATAAATAACAGTAGGTAGACCCTGTTTGTATCTTGATTTAAATAAACTGAAAAAGAACAAAAAATTGTTTTAATATGTGAAATAACATGTGGTTATCTTTTTTAAGACTCTTGAATTTTTAAAGATAAAAACTAAAATACTTTCAAAGAAAAGGAAAAAATCCATTGGAGGTATACTTACATTGTAAGCCACATAGGTCCATTTGGACACTTTTACTGGAACCCACATAGATGTCCCTAAGGTAAAGGAAATTAATTAGTTTGGCTTGTTTTTTTTGGTTTGTTTTGGTTTTTTTATATATTAAAACAATTTCTTTTATTGAATGCTGGTGAAATATTTCTCAATCATAACAGGTTTTGAAAAACAAGTTTTCTGAGTATTGGCTATTTTAAAATAGACAATCTAGTGAGATGTTTTCTATATACCCATCACAAACTAGCAGTGACAGCAAGTAAAACATTTTAAGTCTACTTGGTGTATTTAACTCTAAGGAATATTTATAAAATGAAATAAATATTTCATTTTCCAAACTAAACAGAGTATGACAGAACTTCCCAGCTTGATCCAAAAGAAAACTGAATAGCTGATACTGAGAAACTAAATCAAGAATAATTACAGCATTTATTTTATGTGACTGTCAGAAAAATAGAGATATTTAACTCTTTTTTTCTACTTGTCACATTATTTTCAGGACAAAATTTTTACCAATGTCTTACAAACTGCTTATCTACTCTTTCCAAGAACCTTGTTAGAAAATCATAAAAATACTAATAAAATATAATAGGATTATACTGCCTCAAGTATCACAGTTTGGAAGACTTTGTCTGCTAATAACAAATTTAAAAAATAATCAAAACTCTACTTAAAACTAAAACATGTTACTACCACCAACCTGTTAAGTCAGAAATTATTGCTGGATTTTCCTCAAAGTGTTTTGCTGGGTGTCTTATAAAGTGGTGATTCAAAACAGACAGTTTCTTCTTGGTATTTTGAGTTATCTAGAAAAGAACAATGATACATTCTGTATCCTTTTATATCTACTGTGATAGTTCAATGAAACTTTGCTTTAAGTAATAATGATAAAAGCCAACATTTACTTACTTAGGAACAGGCACCACTGTAGGTACTTAGCATGTTATTAACTCATTTAATCATCACAAGAACTCTAGGAGATAACAGCCCTTTTATCTGCATTTTAAATATGAAGAAACTAAAGTACAAATAAATTAAGGAACATGCCCAAGGTCACACTCCTATTCTAAGTTTAGCCCAGGATTTAAAGCCAGGCTGTTTGGCTCCAAAGCCCATGCTTTTAATCATTATGCAATAGTTCCTCTCAAGTAAGTTAAGAATAAAACATATAGATATACATAGAATCAGAAGAGAACTTAAAGAGATCCTCTGGTGTAGTGAATCCAATACACTGGTTTGCAAATTCAGACCTCTGCCAATCCCAAAACAAAGAATTCACTGGTCATTTAGAGAAAATATAAATTTGCCAACCGCCTGTCCTTGGAAACTTTCCTTTACTCTGTCCTACTTAACTTTGTGTCAAAATGTATTTTCTTTTTTGAAATAAAAATGAGAGCAGACGATAGAATTTTCCTGTTGTCTGTTTTAAAATATCCTAGCACAATAATGTTGAAAACCTTACATCAGTTGCTCCATTAAAAAAAAAAAATGCACTTGGGTATAAAATCCATTTAGGATCTACCATTATTCAGTTCTCTGGTTTAAGCACTGAGGCTCTGACAGGTAAATGTTGTTTCTTAACAACATAGTGAGATAACAAAGAAATGAGAGTGAGGACCTAGGTCTACTGAATCTTTTTAATTTCTTAGTAAGTCACTGAGCATTTCCTTGAATATTTCTAACTTACTGCTTGGCAAGACAGTCCATTCCAATTTTAACAGTTCTTATGAGGGGCATGTTCTGCCTATTTAGGGCAAATATCTGACTCCCTGTTCCTTTGATATATTAGGCTGGGGGGCAGCCCTTCAAAAAATTGAGGACTGTTATATTCCTCATCCAACATAAACTTTTCTTCTATAGATTAAACAATTTCAAAAACATGTTTTTCACAGAACTGTTTCAGACTTCACCACCCTGACTGCCCCTCTGGATAAATTCAAGTTTGTTGATGTCCCCCTTTAAATATGATATGCAAATTATAATTCTCTAGATATTGTGTAAGTACAGATAGTAGAATTTCATCTTCATTGATGCAAACTATACTTGAATTAACTCAGCCAAATATGAAATTAGTTATGATTATTTTTAAGGAGCTACATCTGTTTGTAATCAATTAGAAGCTATAGGTCTTTCTACTACAGTTTCAATTAAGTCAGGACTCTCCCACCCTTACTTATACTAGGAATCCATCCACTCACAAGTTTTCTGCTATGACTTTTATGCTGATTAACCATAAAAAATTATTCTCTAATTCTGATTCCTTGGTACCACATGTTTGGGAGTAATTATGCTCAGAGTTAGGGTTTCCATGTATATATATATGTTTGTTTCTCCTCCTGGATTATATGCTTCTTAAAGGTTGGAATCATATCCCAACTTTTATTGTCCAATTTAGTTCATCCATTATACATATAGTGAATTTCTGAAACAGAACTGTTTCATAATATTTTGATTCTTACCAGTATTAGTTAGCAAAAACCTCAATTTTCCCTTAAAATGTGTCTGTAAAATACTTATCATTCAAAACTATAATTTATCAAACATTAGTTTCAGAGTTTTCAGGAGAAAATCATCTTTCAAGATAAAATCCTCATCTTCAGATTAAATGGAAAACAAGATTTGATTTATTAGAATTAGCACAATTTTTAAAGAATACAGCTTTCTGAGACACTCCTGTTCTTAATTGGTTGAAATGGGTTTTTTCCTAAAACTACCAAATATCCTTTCAAATACAAATTGATCTTAAAATGTTAATTAATCTTTTATTATACCTAGTTGCATTCACTCTCTCAAATAAACCATAATGTTTGCCATAGTTAAGAATCACAATTAAACAAGATTGAGAAACTGAAAAATGTTTGTATTCCATGACCAATTCACAGTGCTAAGTCTATGAAGCTGATTTACTTTAATAAATACACTAAATTAAATATGGTATCTTGTGGTTTAAAATGTGGTAAAACACAGCAGTTTGGGTTTCTCTTTTTTATTGTTTCAGGGAAAGCCAAGTATCTGTGCTTCTATCTAATAGTTATGCGCTTTCTAAAGGATTAAAGGGGAAAAAAAATGCAGACATTACCCTAAGAGAGAATGCTACAGGAGGAAGGTTCTCAGATACAATGATAAGGAAACCATTACCTAGAGATCTATTGAGCAAGAATCCACATATACTTGTTTCTCAAATAATCAGAGCTGTCAGGGGAAACAATCCAAAGTACCTAGGCTGCAATACTTTGCCATATTGAAAAAAGTTACATTACACACAGGGAACTTTCTCTCCACAAAGAGAAGCCAGAGCCATAGTTCTCAACACATATGTCAGTGCAACAGTGATGCACTACAAGATGAACTGAGGTGAAAGGATGCTTAAGATGAAAAATGACAGAGTTCCTAATTCATAAAAAAAAATTTAAGTTAATGAATAGAATTGTCTGAATTTTGCTGAAATCCTTGGTGCCCCTTATTATTTATCTGTTTGCAGGCAAGAAAGTGATGAGAGAGAAATATGATGTTCTATAAAAAACACTGTGATTTATAACTGAACAAATTGGAAAATCACTAATTTGGAGAGCTTATATATGAAATCTCATAACAGAAAAGATTCAACTTCTAGAAGTACATAATTCAACTTCTGGTAAGCTTGGGTTATTCAATTAATGTAAATATTTGATCCAATCAGAAAGGTAAAGATGGTGTTTAAAAATTTTTTTTGACAAAAATGTCTAATAAAATAGTTCATTATGTCTACAATGTATTACTAAGAAAAAAATGATAAAATAGCTTTTAAGAAGTATTTCCCTTAAGTTAAAAAAAAGTAGAAAGATGTATATCAAATCTTAAACAGTAAAGAGAAAGAACTGGGGAAAGATTTAAGGTATCCTTTCACTTTTTCATTTTCATGCATTCTATTAATTACTAATAGTAGTCAAAGTATTATCAGATAAAAGATATTTCCATTTTGAAAGCAATTACAGTTGCTATAAAGTGTAGGCTTCTATTTTCATCAAAGTAAAAACAATGTATTATATCCATCACTAGTGTAACAAAAACTTTTTACTTTACTGAAATAATTTTTAGTTTAAAAACACATACTTGTTTCGTATCAGCATCAATAAGATCAAAGAATGCTCGAATAGTAGTCAATTGCAATTGTTTACACCTAAAATATAAAATAAGTTTTAGAATGAAACTGTTAAACAGTATACTTTTGATATAAACATGTATAATTCTACTATTTAATGTAATATTTGAGCTTCCTTTAATGCTATACACTTTAAAAGTATTTAACAAACCATTATTATTAAGCATGTACCTTAAAGTTGAAACATATAAAAAATAAAGCAGGAGGTGGCTCAAGATGGTGGCATGAGTAGGGTGGTAGAAATCTCCTCCCAAAACCATATATGTTTTTGAAAATACAACAAATACAACTATTCCTAAAAGAGAGACCAGAAGATACAGTAAAACAGCCAGGCTACATCTACATCTGTGAGAACTCAGCATATCACGAAAAGGGTAAGACACAAAGCCGTGACCCAGCAGGACTCAAGCCGTCCCCACACCCCCAGCTCACCTGCAGGAGGAAAAGAATCAGAGTAGGGAGGGAGTGGAAGCACAGGACTACTAAATAACCATCCTAGTAATCTGCACCGGGATCACTGACACACAGTGCATGGTGTACTGGATATTAGAGAAACAGAAAAGTAAAGTCCGAGATGGAGACTGCAAGCAGGTCCCCACAGCTGGCTCCCCTGGGAGAAAAGAAAAGCAGGCACTTTTTAAAATTCTTAAAGGGACAAGGGCTTAACAGCTGGACAAAACTGTCCCGGCACACTCAGCCCAGCAGGCTAGGAA